CAGCATGAAAACCTTAAGACACAGGGTAAGAAATAGCCAGGAAGGACCAATGCTTCTATTTCTATTCTTTTCCACAGCATTATAAAATACAAGGCTTCATACATCCTCTAAGAACATCAATAGTAGGGCCCCATCTTCCTACTGTTTTTGAAAGAATCTATGATTGGCAGCCTTCTGCTGCTATACTGAATATTGGAGATCATTAACTCACAAAGAGAAAACAGTTCATTTCCACAAGTTCACGTCCACGTGACTGGCTCTATTGCTCGGGCCGTAAGTGAAGAGAGTCACTTGACGGCAGGAACCTGCGGCACAGCAAGTCTGCAACTGTGACCAGGATGAGTGAAAGGCAAAAGGAGCTGTGGTCGCCACATCCCCTTCAAGGCTGAGCCACCCATGACCTCAAGACCTCCCACTAGGCTCTGCCCCTTAAAGGGTCCGCTACACCCTCCATGCACCTTGAGGGACACTAGGGTCCCCACTGTAACAGACTCAAAATGTTGTTCCTCCAGAATTATACCTATGCCACTCTATATGCCTGGGGCAGCAGCCAAAGCCTGTGGACCAAGGGCCTTAATGATCATGGGGCTATTTCTCATAGGTGATTTCAAGCTAAGCAGAGAATTCCTCCTTAAAAAGTCCAGCCTCTGGTCCACTGAACAGCTTAACAGACCAGAGATAAACTCTAAGGAGAAACAGGCCAGTTCATACTTGCAATGTGAAATAATTGAGATAATAACACTGGGAAACACTCAGACTACACAAGGAAAGTCATCTCAAACAATCTTCAAATTAGTACTGGAAATGCTGGGGGTGGCGAGGTGACTTCGGGGTCCCGATGCAGCCCAGAGCTCATGAGTCTGAGAGCGGCCCAGGGGCCGGATGCCCGGCTCATCTGCCAGATGTACAGGGCACGTGCTGAGAATGCTTGAGCCCAAATGTTCAGAAAAAGTAACTTCAAAGCATTTTTGTGTTTTTTAAAAAATTATTTTATTTTAACCTTGGAATGTTTTAGTTTGGGGCGTTATGGCTTCGGTTTGTGATTGAACCCTAGTGTGTGGACAGGAAACGGGCTGAATTGGAAATGAAGACAGACGGGGCACAGCCCGTGGTACTGCACCCTCCACACACAGCGCTGGCTCGGAGGAGAGAGGAGGAGAAAGGCCGGAGCCCAGAGGAGCCCGGCCATCTCGTCCTCCCGCTCCACCACCTGCTGGCGGGGACAAGTCTATGTCACGCAGATCAGAATCCTTGCCATCCGGGAGAGAGCCGGCGCGCCCGGCTGACGTGCGCCCTGGGCGGCACACCTGCGGGCCCCAGTGTCTGCCAAGTGACCGCACAGAAGGAGCCAGTGACATTCAGGGTTCGAGACCGCAGGGTGGCCATCACCAGAATCAAGACCACCCTGGGGGAACTGAGCAGAGTCAGCTCTGGGGAAGGTGAGGTGTGTCCTGCTTCTCCCCACCGCTGCCCTGCCACGCGGGCACCGCGGAGCTCACGTCCGTGAGTGGGCATCAGAAGCCCTTGACCTCCGTGTAAATTCCAGTCACAAAGCAACAGCAACGGACTGGTGACTTGTCAGTTCACCCTACGACTCGCGAGCTGCTCCATGTACTTACGTTTGTCTATCTAGGGCTCGCGCTCACGTACACACACAGCTCTAATCTAATTTCTCACATGACAAGAAAAGAAAAACAGCAGCAACAGAAACAAGTAAGACCATGGGCAACCAACACTGAACGTTAAGCTGGCCTTGGGGAAGAATGGGGCTGGCCTAATCGCCACGCCCTTCAGCAGCACTAACAACCCAGTGAGGTGTGAGCGGGGTGCGATGGCACACACCAGGCGGGCGCAGAGGAGCCTGGGGAGCTGCCTGTGCTTCGGGACGCTCTGGTGCGCGAGCTGGGCCACACGGCTGGGTTGTTAATGCGGCCCCTGGTTCTGGAGCCTGTGGTTAGGCCTGAGCAGCTGCAGACATGCAGTATGAGCTGCACTTCTGTGTAGACTAGGGTCTCAGTCTGGCAAAGGATGGAAAGCAAACTGAGGCCCCCTAGCCCCGTAACCCTGGAGTCAAACAACCCCTTCTGGAATTGCCTGCTGACAAGCAATCGGAGCTCACTTATGACCAGCTTAACTGAGCAGGTAGGAGCAAGCACCAACAGAATGGTGCTGAAAAAGTGCTTTCCAGAACCTGGATTACCATTAGAATGCAAGCCAGCCACCGGTGGCAATGGGGCTGAAGGACTGACACATCTTCCTAGAGCAGAGACCAGGCTGCCAGGCACATGCCGGGATACCAGGATGAAGCGTGAAGCATAGTTGGTCAAAGGCAGGGGTGAAGGCTCCAGCCCAAAGGGCCTTACAGAAGCTGCCCTGAACCAGGCATGGGATCGCACCTCTGATAAGAATGACAGGCTGATTGAGGATGGAAGGTCTTGATGAGATACTCAGCTGACCCGGGTCCGTTCAGCAGGCGGATGACCACCTACAATGCGTCTTTCTTCTGTGGCTCTTGACCTGCCTAGCATGGCTGTCAGCAAACTGTCACATGTCTGTTTCCCAGTGGTGCTTGGGGTCCACACCAGGAGGACGAGGTTCGGGGCCAGGGTGGAGCAGGCCCTGCCACAGTACCTGCAACACGTACCCTGGCTGCTGGGGAGGCAGGTAAAGGTGACTAGAAGCAGCACATGCTACATGCAGCGCCGCTGACGTCCAGATTGCTCACAACTTGGGTGGCTCATGGGGCAAATCGGGGAAGGAGAAATGAAGACAATTCTTCATACCACTACCTATGTCTGCTCCTCACCCAACAGGAGGGGAAACCAGCACAGACTTCAAAGTACTTATACAAACGGGACCCATGCCTGTAATCCCAGCGGCTCAGGAGGCTGAAATCTGAGCACTGTGGTTCAAAGCCAGCCGGGGCAAGAGAGTCTGTGAAACTCTTATGTCCAAAGAGCCAGATGGAGCTGTGGTCTAAGTGACAGAGCACTAGCCTTGAGTGTAAAAGAAAGGGACAGCATTCAGACCCCGAGTTTAAGTTCTAGTACATGTACACATACACACATACGCGCACACACACACGCGCACGCACACACACACACACCGCTTATACAAGGATTCAAGGTGGATTCAAGTGGTAGAGCTTGCCTAGTGCACAAGGTCCTGAGTTCAACTCCTAGTACTGCACAAACAAACAAACACAACAACCTTATATACAAGTCAGATGCCACAATTTCAAAAACATAAAAATATGCCCAGGAAGATCTGGAGCCTTCACACTGCCTGGCCAGTACAATGAATCAGACGCTGTGGCACAAAGCGACACGCTCTCCGTGTGACACGCTCCCCACAGCAGATCAAGCACCCCACGGACACTGGATGCACAGCGACAACCTCAGAAGCTTTGGAAAGAGGTGAAAAAGCACCATCTCCGAAGAGACGGCAGAAAACAGAGGCTCCCCGGCCGCCTGCCCGCACCGCCCTGGGGGCCTGGCCTCCCCCCTCCATACATACCCCCTTTTGGGGGCCCCTGTCCCCCCCTCCTCCCAAGATGGTGCTGCTCAAGGTCCCAGGCTCCTCTCCTGTAACGCGGCTGGCCCCAGGAAGGTGCTCTGCGACGTCCTGCCCTCCCTGAACACCACACCCCTTCACCTGACCAAAGGCCACGGCGGACACACTCCCCAAGCTTCCTGCCACTCTGTGCTTTTGTTATTTTTCTGTTGCTTTTTGTTTCGGCGATAACGGGGTTTGAACTCAGGGCCTTGTGAAATGTGATGTGTGATGTGTGGCTTAGTCACATATCCTGCCCCATTTTTCACTGTTTTGTTCTTTTTTTTGAAGACAGGTTTCCTCACCCAGGGACGGGACCACAATCTACCTATTCTAAGTTTGCCGGTGCTGCTGCGGTCACAGGTCACGTCAACCGTCTGTTCCCGCTTGTGGAGATGGGGTTTCACAGACTTTTCTGTTCAGGCGGCCCAGAGACCTGACTCCCCCGGTGCAGCTGGGGATGGAGACGTGTACCACCATATCCAGCTGCAGGCCGAGAAGGGGCCTTATGAAGTTTTCTGCCTGGGTTGGGCTAGAACCTTCCCAGCCTCTTAAGTACCTAATACAACTCAAGATGACAAGCATGAGCCACTGACACTCAACTCAGACCTCATTTCTTGAACTATGAAACTGTACAAGTTTCAGTTTCCTCCTCGAGGACTAAGACGGGTGCTTGCTGAGGATGCTCCTGTGGAGTCAGTGACGAACTGTGGCAACAGGTATGTACGTACGTACACACACACACACACACACACAACCACAACTGCCATTTAAAATACAGACAAACCTCGCTTCTCTCTTTTTTAAAGTATCCTCATATGCAATAAAAATATTTTAGGGGCAGGGGCAGCCCCCCCCCCGCCCATGACGGTCAACCTGGATGTCATTTATTTCCTTCAGATTATATAAAAACTAGCAAGCACTAAAAATGCCATATGCAGCAGGATTTGCCATAATCTTGCTTCGTCCCTAGTATTAAAAGATTCTTTGTATATAAGCAGCTCATTTATTCACGGAAAATTCACACTGCCAAACATGATAAATCCTGGTATTAAAGGCATGTATTACCATGCCCAACATCTTTTTCTTAAAGAAAGGATTAGATTAAGAAGAAGCAACTATGATAAAGAAATGGCAAAGTACCGAAGGCTGACTGAGAATGAAGTCATGAGGAACAGCTCACGGGACTCTCCATGCTGCATGTCTGTTCCCAGGAAAGATGATGGGACATGCAGACTCTGCCCCAGGACTGTTTGGAGTGGGTGTCCTGTCTCTTCTGAACACCCCACTGAAAGCAGGCAGAGGACTGGAGAGTGGCCGTTGGGTCACACTGCCGGCCCACCACACGCACCTGCCACCCAGCAGCCCCGCTGCCTGTGAGCCCCCGCTCCCCTCTCCTGCCCTGCCCCAGTGTCTCAAAGCCATGGCGCCTGGCGCTGTGTGTTTACCGTCCTGGAAGACACGCTCCACGTTGAGCCCGTATGTGGCGCAGGTCTCATAGTACGTGCAGCGTTTCAGGTCGTTGGAGAGCTTCCGCGCCCGCGCGTCGTCGATGACCCGCGGGTTCGTGGAACTTATGGCATCTGCAACAGAAGAACAAAGCGTGATGCTGGCGACCACACACACCCATCACACGGGCTTCTTGTGACTGTGTGACAGATCTCAAGCCGCCACTGTCCCCAGTGGAGCTGTAGTTCCTTCCAGGCTCTCAAGTTGTGAAAGCAAAGTTAACTCCCCAAAATAGCAGCCTCAAACTCCAGAACAGCCCGTCATCCGTGGGCAGAAACTTGTGTGAGCAGACGGCTGCTGAGACTGCAGTCAGAGCGCGATGATTTGGAGTAAGAGGAAAATGCAGCTCGGCAGCAGGAGCCGTGTAAGGGTGCACAGACTGGCCCCACCTTCTGTGAGCGAGGAATGCCTGTGGAGCCCACAGCGGGAGGAGAGAGGCCTGCTGTCAGAGCAGCAGCAAGCAGAACCCACTGGGAAGAGGGAAGCTGGGATCGGGGCTGGCAACAGCCTGCAGGGCAGAGGGAGATGGGGGGGGGGGTCCGGGACGGAGGGGAGTGGCCCTGCAGGTCACTCAGGATCGGCTTTTAGGCCCTGTGCAGAGGACACCATCCAGTGCTGCGGGCCACAGGGGCGGGTGGGGTCCCATCACCTGGGGCATCCAGGCATGGGGAGACCGAGCAGCACAAGCATGGATGCCCACACAACTCCCTTTTCATCCAGGCCTCCCCACACCCTTGGGCCACGGCCCACAGAAGGGACTGGACACGGTGTGCTGGGGGGAAGGACAGCAGGCCTCTGTCGGAGGTTTCCTAACGCGAATGATTCCAAGGGTTGAAGGCTCACTCTCTAAAGGAAGCCACCAGCGGGGACTCTCCCTGGCCGAGCAACGCTGCGTCTGCTGCCCAGGACAGCCATAGCATCCACCCCGGGGAAAATTCGGGGAGCATGCCTGGCACCCACTTTCTCAAGAGCAAAAAAGGAATACGTTGAGGAAGCAATACATTCCTCTTTTCCTTTTTTTGGTCTTTTTGAGATAGTGTTTGACCGCGTACCTCAGGCTAGCCTTGAACTAATAATCCTCCTGCCTCAGCCTCCCAAAGGCTGGAATTACAGACATTTGCCACCTTGCCCGGCCCAAGGAAGACCTGGATAAAACCAGCCCCAGGGGAAAAACAAAACAAAAGAGCCGGGTGCCAGTGGCTCATGCCTGTAATCCTAGCTCAGGAGGCTGAGATCTGAGGATCATGGTTCAAAGCCAGCCTGGGCAGGAATGTGAGATTCTTTTTTTGGGGGGGGGGGTCTGGTCATGGCGCCTGAACTCTGGGCCTGGGCACTGTCCCTCAGCTCTTCAGCTCAAGGCTAGTGCTGTACCACTTGAGCCACAGCACCACTTCCGGCTTTTTTCTTTTTTTGCTTATGTGGTGCTGAGGAATCAAACCCAGGACCTCAGGCATGCAAGGCAGGCGCTCTACCACTGAGCCACCTTCCCAGCCCAACTGTGTGAGATTCTTATCTCTGATACAACCACTAGAAAACCAGAAGTGGTGCTGTGGCTCAAGTGATAGAGCACTCGCCTTGAGCTGAAGAGCTGAGGGACAGCGCCCAGGCCCAGAGTTCAAACCCCATGACCAACAACAAAAAAGAAAAGGAACAAAAACAACTACCAAGCACACACGTGCCATATGCTGACTGATCCACCAAATGCGCCTTGCCAATTTCTCTGGCAGCCCTTCCTAAGAGGCGAGAGTCCGGCCTGTCAACGCCTGAGGTGTGCATGGCCCCAGCCCGATTCCGCCCTCCACCGTCAGAAACGCTGGTGAGAATGGAGACAGCTGCACAGTCCTATCTTCACCAGAGGAAGCTAAACTCCGAGAGTTATTGTAAGTCCCTGAGAGAGCAGAGAGGCCTCAGCTCCACCTCTGAGCCCGGGCAGCTCCGGAGCTCAGCTAACACCAGGAATCCAAGCTCACTCTTGCTTTGGATATTCCACCTGGCCTGTAAGGCAGCTATAAGTGGAATGTGCTGTTAAAAGGTCATTTTATACTTACTAAAAGTTCTCAGACGCTCTCGGTCACCTCAAAGGGGCCAATGTGGCATGCAGGCCCCAGACACTCAGCCCGTTCTGGAGAATGATGCTCTACTTGCACATGACCTCTGTGATCCTTGTTTACACTTTCAATCATCTCTAGATTTATCCATTCATTATCCATTTTGGGACAGTAAAAAGCTACATAAGTGGCTGTTACACTTTTTAAGGAGTAACGACAAGGAAAGAGGGCTGTACATGTTAAGAGATGGTTTAACCCACAGCCAGTGGAGCTAACAAGCAAGGAATTTTTGTTCTGTATCGCTGCCTCCTCGTGGCCACCAGAGGGCGCTGTGGCACAAAGAACTTCTATCTAGTTTAGGTTCAACCTGCTTTTTGCTCCTTGGGTTTCAGCAGTAAGAGGAGCCACAAGGCACTGTTGTGCTTTCCAGGAGTCACGGGTGCTGTCCTTGAAGAGCCAATTCCAAGGTCCTAGCTAGCACAATGGGAGGGTGCTGTCACTTCATGAACAAGTCCCTACTTCTCAGCACACAAGCCCACCACCGACGGGCTCTGGGCAAGCCTAAACCTTCCCGTCAGGGCATCCTGAGTGCTACCTCAGTGGCGCTCTGTGCATGCCATCCACAGCCAGCTTCTCAGCAAGAGTGCGCTAACACGAGGGCACAGGCCTGTATACCTGGAGGATTCAGCAAAATCAGTGCATGAAAGAACGGAAGGAATCATGAGATTTTTTAAGAACATGACTACTCTGTATGTCCTCACATTTCTGACAAAGCTGTCTGAAAGTGAATGTCATCTGCGCTCAGAGAATTCGAGGTGGTCCTGGGCTGCACCCAGGGGACTGCTCTACCACTGGGGCAGAGACCAAGAACCTGGACCTGAGGCTGACTCCAGGGCACGTTACTAAAAGGCCAGGTTTACAAGTGACCCAGAGGAAACCCAGAAATGGGCCCCACAGAAACGGGTTCTGTGCTCTCAAGCACAGATGAAAGCAACAGACCCCACGATGCTGACAGTGAGGTCACAGCTAACCTCTAGTATTCACGGCACACTGAAGGTTAAATAAGCTTACTTACTTTATTATAGTGAAAGCCTTTTGCTTATGAACTTTTTATAAAATAAGGCATTAGAAAACAACAGAGAACGAGTCTGTTTTTTGTAAAGCATGTCTGTAGCTGCACTGTTTTGAGGTGGTTGGTTTGTGCACAGAATCAAATCAGGAAACACACACAATGCATGTGTCTCGTGGCTTCTCTATGCAGGAACTGCACACACTGAAAACTCACCCTGGGTCCCCACCAGCACGAGCGGGACCTCGCTGGTATTCCGATAGTTGGCCATCCGGCTGTAGTAGTGGTAGACCGTCTGGAAACTGATCTCATCCTCCAAGCTGAAGACGAAGATGACCGCGTCCACCCACATGGCAAACTGCAGAGAGGCAAGGCAGAGGGGGCGCTGAGTGGGGGTGCAGGTCGGAGGCGGAGGCCCCGGGGTCTCTGGGTCTTCTTCAGACCTGGGAGTGCCCAGATGGGGGACAGCCTCCAGGCCGGGTGTTACCACGGATGGTGGCTGTACCACGCACACCCATCGACAGAGCGCACGCAGCTTCCCGGACCAGTGTTGCCGTTCCTGCCAGGCCCCTCTTCAGAGAGAGCCCACGACCCTGCGTGCTCTGTGCCCCAGACCGGGCAGAAGCTCCTCTAGGGGCTGGAGATGTGGCTCAGGCGGTAGAGAGCCTGCCAATGAGGTAAAACATCAGACAGTGATTTTGAGTCCTAGTTGCTGGTGGTGGGGAGCGGGGGGCGGAAAGAGGAAAAAAAAAAGGTTCCTCTGTGGGGCCTGGACCCCCCCGTGAGGTGGTGCTGAGCGTGGCCCGGCCCCCAGCCCCGCACCGGCTCTTCCTTCCCAGTGCTACAGGCATCAATGGGCACCCAGCCCAAGAGTGCCCCTCTCCAGAGCCCCATCGCCTGCCCGGGACTTCCAGGCTCCCCACCACCCACCGCCCAGGGCTGCCACTGTGGGAGCAGCCCCTCGCCAGACAGAGGCCGGCCCCCGCCCAGAGCCCCTGCCAGGAAAGGATCACTTATTCTGGGGAAATCCACAGAAGTTGGACCCGTGTCTACTGGTCCTGCTCTGCCCGCACCCACCCTGGCAGGTGCTCCCGAGTTGTCTCCGGAGGAGGGGCCCAGGGTGTCTGTCTCCACCCTGCACCAAGACCTTCCTCGTCCCAAGTGAAATCCCATCCAACACCAAGACCTTCCTCATCCCAGGTGGAAAGGAAGCAACCAAGAAAAAAACAAAAGAAAAAAATCCTGTTTGCATTCCCTAAAAAGAAGCTTCAGTGCCTAGGTAAGTTTAGATGGCCCCTAAACTCCAGCAAATGCCATAGGGGTTACCTCAATTTCCCCCTTACAACTAAAAAACATGTCCACTCTTACATGAAGCAGCTATGCGACCAGCCCTTGAAGTCCTAAGGCTCTAAGGACACACATATGATCCATCGCAAGAGAGAGTGTGAAGCAGACCTGAGGGAGCTGCACGCTGCTCCAGAACTGGATGGAGGGGGGGGGGGGCGCGGAGCGGCATCACCTTCCCTTTCTCTCCACCTGGAGCTGTGTCCCCCCCCGCCAGCCCCCGAGGGAGGAGGGAGTGCTCCCAGCTCCCAGCACGCAAGCTGCACCCCTGAACCTCCACACACAGGAGGTGCTGGCCACGGCCTCTTCTCCCAGGAGGGCGCTGTGACAGCCCAGCACCTACACCAAAACTACACCCAACACTAAGAACAAGGTACACCCCACACTAAACACAAGGTACACCCACCTAAAAATGAGGGAATGGGAAAGGGGGCCATTTGAAAGAGAAACACAAGGCAGTTAAAGCAGCCAAGTTTCTGCTCTCCCCTGGCACCCCGTTGGCCACACAGGGCGCCAGAGCCCGTGTATGAGGCCCCACCTTCACGTACCGGCCATCAACACTCCACACGCCGGGAAGACAGGAAGACAGAAATCAGGCCTGTGGTTTTAAAAGGCTCTATCCTCCTATTCCCCAAGTTTGTGGAGCCCTTTAATCAGGAACAATTTCAGGCTAAATACTCCTGAGGAAGCATGTGCCAGAATAACGGGCTGGTCCTCAGGGAAACTGAGTCAGCACTTCCTCATAGCCAGAGGCCAAGGTGACCTCCTAAGGGCCCCAGTTCTCGGCACTGCTGGGGTCGCTAGCAGCCACCTGGGAGCGCTACCCCGCCTTGGGGAAGGCCTCAGGATGCCAGCGTCCACAGGACACAGGCTGGTCCCCTCCAGGACTGACCTGCGCACTATGGCCCAGGGGACACCCAGGGTCACTGAGACAGGATTCTGCTTACACAATGAACACCTTTTTTTTTTTTTTTTGTCGGTCATGGGGCCTGAACTCTGGGCCTGGGCGCTGTCCCTCAGCTCTTCAGCTCAGGGTAAGCACTCTACCACTGAGCCACCCCCAGAATGAGCACTTTTGATGCACAATACTGAAGAAAAGAAGGAAAAAAGGGGGGGTTAAAAAAAGGAAGAAAGGAGGCAAATTTCCTGCCATAGGCCTTATTTTCTTAAAGCAATTCCTTAACTAATTATACCAACTAGTTAAAGAAGTAAAATGGCATTTTATCAAACATTATTTCATATTTTGGCATATTAAGGTCTGTGGAAGATAAATTATTTTTAAATATCAGATTAAAGAGATCTCAGAGGAAAAGCACCATTCGAGACAAAACACCAGACCTCTGAGCAGCACACCAGATCTCCTAAGCAGCACACCAGACCTCTGTCAGTACACCAGATCTCTGAGCAGCACACCAGACCTCTGAGCAGCACACCAGACCTCTGTCAGTACACCAGACCTCTGAGCTGCACACCAGACCTCTGAGCAGCACACCAGACCTCTGAGCTGCACACCAGACCTCTGAGCAGCACACCAGACCTCTGTGCAGCACACCAGACCTCTGAGCAGCACACCAGACCTCTGTCAGTACACCAGACCTCTGAGCTGCACACCAGACCTCTGAGCAGCACACCAGACCTCTGTGCAGCACACCAGACCTCTGTCAGTACACCAGACCTCTGAGCTACACACCAGACCTCCGAGCAGCACACCAGAACTCCGAGCAGCACACCAGACCTCTGAGCAGCACACCAGACTCTGAGCAGCACACCAGACCTGTGAGCAGCACACCAGACTTCTGTCAGTACACCAGACCTCTGAGCAGCACACTAGACCTCCTGAGCAGCACACCAGACCTCTGAGCAGCACACCAGATCACCTGAGCAGCACACCAGACCTCTGTCAGCACACCAGACCTCTGTCAGCACACCAGACCTCTGAGCAGCACACCAGATCTCCTGAGCAAGTACACCAGACCTTTGAGCAGCACACCAGACCTCTTTTGTGTGAATCAGGCTGCACCTTCACGAGAAGAGATGCTCCAGAAAGAACGCCAAGGAAGTCCTAAGTCTGCTTCTGCAACATCAATGGGACCAGCTACTCCTAGAGCATGGCTCCATTTGAACTAGAAACTCACAATGTCAACAAAACACTGAGCTGGACTAAGTCGGCTGAGACAGAGGACTCCCACACGGCACTCGTTTCCAGAATGCTCTCCTTCCAGGGGCTGTCAAGGAAACCACCACACACTACCCTGCACGTGGGCTTTCCGTGGAGCCCAATGGTGCCAACACGGCTGGCCAGCTCACGGAAACACCAGGTCCTGCCAGGCAGCAGGAATGGAGAGATGGGCAGAAAGGGCTTTAGAATCCAGCAGACTTTCTCAGTGACGTTACTATTTAGAGATGAAGTCAGCTGAGCAGCACAGACTACAGGATGTCTAAGTACTGTTCGAGTTAAGAGCAAATTTTGGCTTTCCAGCCTTCTTCCTCTGCCTCCTCCTCCTTCTCCTCTTCCTCCTAGGTTCTTGCTAGGCAGGTGCTCTACATCCTGAGCCATGCCCTCAACCCTTTTTGCCTTTGATACTTTCAAATAAGGCACTGTGGGGGTAAGTCTAGGCTGGTATGGACTACGGTCTACCTGTGAATGTTTCCCACCCAGGGGGATGACAGGCACTGGACCACTGCATCCAGAGACCAACTGAGATGAGGTCTCAAGTTTATGCTGAGGGTGGATGGGAACTGTGATCCTCCCAACCCAGCCTTCCACGCAGCCAGGATGACAGGCACACACCACCACACCCAGCTCCTGACTGAGACAACGTCTGGCCTTTATGGCCACGATGGCTTGAACTGCAGTCCCGGGAAGCTAGGGTTACAGGAGTCACACATACACTTAGGAGAAAAAAATGAAATCAGTCACACAAACTGAGCTTTTGTGAAAGCACTTGATTCCTTTCTGGAAATGGCTGCCCAGGAAGAGCTCAGGAAGCTCAGGTCCAAAGCCGGCTTCAGCCTGAAATACTCACCTGTGCCTCTGGGGGGCCCCCTTCATCTCTAATCAGCAGCAGGTAGCTCTGTCCATCCACAACAATCTCCTTCTTGAACCTGCCACCTGCCACACAGAAAACATTATGTTATAGAAGAAAACCAGAGCAGGAGGGGGACAGACAGACGTGGGCTTCGCTTGTGGAACAATACACTCTGGATGGCTGCCCTTGGGGCCAGCCGGCTAGGAGGGCTTAGGAGAAGATGTCAGATGTCTCCCACAGCCACTGGAATTTTAGAGCAATGGAACCCAGATTGAAACATGTGTTTGTTCATCTCTGATTAGCAGCTTTCCATGCAACCCCAGGCACAGCTGGCTGGGAAGCATGGAATCTGTGTGCAGTCTTTATACGTAAATGCATAAATTCTCACACACTGGGAGAGAGAGAACACTCAAATTGTCTTTCCGGAGGGTTCACAAACTGAGAAATGTCATCTATGATGTCTGACAGATGAAGGGCAGGGAACCTGTATTCTCCTCAAGGGAAACCCAGTTCTTGAAGGGAACACACAGAACAGTATGAGGATGGTATCTCCAGATGCCGACTACCACACACGGGTTAGACAGAGCTACGGGATGGGATCTCCGCACGGGTGGAGACAGAGCGGTGCAGCTGACTGACGAAGAGGCGTTAGAGACCATGGGGTTAGCAGGAAAACACTGGGGCCTGCTGGAGCAGGGGGGAGCCCAGAGGGGCAGGGTGGGCCGGTGACAGCCCCTAGACACGCCCGAGACTGCAGGGCACCCTGGCCGCACCAGCAGGCCTGCATGGCGGGAAAGTGTTCGCCTTGGGCTTCGGTGCTGAGTGGCCTCTAGGTGGCCCTTAGGGTTCTCAATCTTGTGAGAAAGCAGGCTGATGCCTCCCCAAAGGCCCCACTGGACCCTCCGCCTAACAGAATTCCAGAGAACCACTAGGCCAGAGCCCCATGGGGTCACACGGGCGCCCTCCCCTGGGGGATAGAAATCCACCCAGAATCCCAGGTCTACGCTATTCCAGTGCCCATGACTGCAAGTGAGGCCCCACCCCAAACCTGAGGTGTGCAGGCCGCCAGAGGGACGGCTCCCACCTGGGCTGGGGCGGTGGGCTGCTCTCCCCCAGCGGCTCCCACCCGACTGGCTCGGTCACCAGCCTAACCTGTTTCAGATCAGGAAGTGCTTGCTTTGTTTACAGTGTTCAATGATAAAACCCAGGGAAACCTTCCAGCATTACAATAAAGCAGGTGAGCTGTGTCGGGGTCCCCATCGCTGAGGAAGGAGCCTAGAAGAGGACTCCATGGTAGGCGCTAGGTCAGGACAGCAAGCCACACACCAGTGAGTCTCGGCTGCAGGAAGGACCAGAGCTGCGGTCCAAACTGTAATGTTTGTCATTGCAAAGGGGGCACACCCCTTCTGTGGGGCGGCGTCCCCCCTGACACAGGCAAATGTCTCCCGGGTACCAGGCCAACCCTGAGGCAGCCCCCTCTGCTGGGGGGGCTACACGCGGGGACTGCCAGTGTTGTTGATGTTCTCCGAACGTGGCCGCTGGCTTCCAGGTGTGCCACACCTGGCACTTAATAAACTGCTCACAGGAGGATGCCGTGCTCAAGCGGAGACGGTAATGAATATTACGTCCCTATTTTTGGTTCTTTAGAAAGAGATGCTGGAATCTGGCTATTTTTCAGAGGTGGACGGAATTCAACTTGTAAAACAAACAAATAAAAAACTCTGAAAAGCAAATGCTTTCCCTTACCCCATGATCCTAAAGATCTGCCCCTCCAGTTGTAACCCAAAAGGCGCCTGGGTTTGGCTGAGAGCCGCAGTGGCACTGCCCAAGAAACACCTACTATGGGATGGGGTGTGCCCATCACAGACCACGGGGTGCAGGCATCTGAGACCCTCTGGCCACAGGAAGGGATCCCAGACAGGTTTGGCAGAGGGTTCCAGGCCGTCCTGGGATGGGACTGGCTGGCCACTCTCTGCCCCTCTCTTTTCTACAGTCCTAGAGACGAAGGGAAGTCGAGTTTCCTGGTGGGCAGTGAGGGCCGCCCCAGAGCCTCCCAGGAAGGCTTGTCCTCAGGTTCCACCGGGCATCCTGACAACCTCCGCAACCAAGAAGTCCTTGCCAGGTTTTCACACAACACAAACCGTCCAGTCCCAGAGTTCACGTGCACGGCACCTGCCACCACCTGCTACGCGCTGAGCTGGGGGAGCCTGGGCGTCCCCACTGCATCCGACGGTGCCCACAGCGATCTCGCCTCCACCCCGACTCCAGCCACCCATATGCCAACCCACACACTGCGCTGCGTGTGAACTGGGCTGAGAGCGTAGAACATGCGACCCGCCCGCCCCCAACACAGTCCCAGAGGCATGGCAGGTGCTGATACATCCCCCAAAGAGGAGCGGGTGGCTCCCATGTGTCCACCTGCCTGAGGAAGACACCTGCAGAGGCACAGGTGAGGGAGAACAGGGAGACAGGGTGGAGGCACAGGCAGAGGGGCTGCAAGGGGAACTGGAGGGAGGGTGGGGTGGATGGCAGGACTGGAGGGAGGGTGGGGTGGATAGAATGGAGGGGAGATGGGGGATGGATGGAATGGAGGGGGATGGAATGGAGGAGGGCGGGGGGATGGAATGGGGGGAGGGGGAATGGACTGGAGGGAGGACGGGGTGGATGGCAGGACTGGAGGGGGAATGGGTGGACTGAAGGGGGGATGGGGGATAGAATGGAGGGGGGACTGGGGGATGGAATGGAATGAAGGGGGATGGATGGTAGGATGCTTCTGCCCTACTCCATTTCCCAAGGGAGCTGGTGGCTTGGAGCACTGCTCAGGTACAGGGATTAGGCCACCAGGCTCCAGCCCTGTCCTGCCCTTTCTGGCTGGAGGACGTCAGTGAGTGATGGGCTTCCAGTGCCAGAGTCCTGGCCTGTGAGGCGGCGCAGGCACAGGGGTTTCCTTCCCGTGTGATGAGAAAACTCACCAGAGCGCCTGCACCGGAGCGGCCCCACCCCCGAGCCTCGCTGGCTCCCCTCAAGGAGCCCCGTCCTCTCTCAGCTAGGTTCTGGACCAGAAACTGCCTGCCCCTGCCCACCCCAGCCTCATCCCCCCCCACCCTCCGCCTCTCCCACCCCCAGACTCCATCTTCCCTTCCCACCTCACCCCCCCCCAGCTTCCATCTCCCCTCTGCCCTCATGCAGTCCAGCCTTGGTATCTCCTCTACTAGCACCCCACATCCACATGGTCTTGCATGTGGCTGTTTACCCTGGACCTGGGGTCCCCTTAGCTCCAGCTTGTGCCCCGAGCCCACCCTATAGCCCCATCCTCCTGGGAGTTTCCATACATGGTGTACACAAAGCAGCCCCACCCCAGCCTGATGGATACTAGGGTTCAACCTTCAGGTGTAATCTTTCCACCTCTGCCCCACTTGAGGGTGTGTGAGACAGGGTTTATGTAGCTCATGTTGGTCTCAAACTTGTCATTTTCCTAGATCAGCTTCCCAAGTGCTAGGTGAGCAGGTCTGCATACCACAAGGGGTAACTCATTTAAAAACCTGTCTTCTGCCGGCACTGGTGGCTCACGCCTGTAATCCTAGCTACTCAGGAGGCTGAGATCTGAGGATCATGGTTCAAAGCCAGCCCGGGCAGGTAAGTCTGTGAGACTTACCACCAGAAAAAAAAAAACCAGAAGTGACGCTGTGGCTCAAGTGATAGAGTGCTTGCCTTGAGCTGAAGAACAAAGCCCAAGCCCAGAGTTCAAGACCCACAACCGACAAAAAAATAAAAAGCTTAAAAAAAAAAATAAACCTGTGGTCCGCCTGCCTGAGTGTGGCCTTTGTAAGGGTGGTCCTGACACGCGGCTGGCTTGGTCACCTGTGTCAGGCAAGACGTGCGGAGCAGACCATGCAAGACGGTGGCCGGCCTTGGATACCAGGACTCTGCAGCTGAGAGATGGAAGCAGAGCCCGGCCTCCGCAGAATCCGGTGGAGGTCAGCAGGCACGGCGTAGCGCGGCACGGCACGGCACGGCACGGCACGGCGAGCAAGGAGCTGAGCAGAGCTCAGCAAGGCGCGGGCTGACACTGTGAATGGCGTTTTCCCGGCCACAGCATCATGTGTTCATCTCATGTGGGCAACGCAGCATTGAGAGGCAGCATCTCGCCAGAGCTCAACCTCCAGTGCAATTTATTAGGTTTCTGGGTCACCCCGAAACGGGTTTGAGAGTACTCGGGGAGCCCGACAGCTGTCCCTGCCTTGCTGTGCATGGACTGGGTCTGCAGCAAGTCCACGGGGTTGCGTGCTTTCTCCTGCAGCCAAAGAAAAGCAGGTGAGCAGCGGACCGCACCGCCAGCGAGGAAACCGCAGACCAGGAAGAAAGGGCACCATTGTTTCTTTTGCTTTTAAGCACTTTCCAGAAGCCACAGGGGATTGCGCGGCTGCTATTTGGGCCTCACTCTGTGGGAAGCAGCTAGCTCTGGGGTGCCCGGCTAGAGGGGAAATTGGGTTCCTTCTGCATCTGGCTCATCTGGGAAGGTGCAGCTGTGCATTAGCTTCTCAGCCAGTGTTCCCTCTGCTGGGGGGGAGGGGGGAGGGAAGGGGGCGAGGGGATTTCCCATTCAAAAAAAAAAAGAGCCATTAGGAACAATCGCTGGCAGGGAAGTTTGACATTTCTGCTTCTACCATTTTTGCTAAGTGGACTATAGCCAGGGAGAGTGGCTCACAGCTCCCCAAGCCACGGACTGAGGGGACAGGACAGGGCGCCTCTTCACTCAAGGACGCATGCTCTCTTCTCCACTAACATCCCTACCATTCCCCACGGCATCTCAGGACACAAACATCGCGGAAGTCCAGATCCACCGACTGGAGGCCTGCTTCCTGTGGGGGAAGGGCAAGGCCCCAGTCTAGTTCCTACTCCTCCCCAACCCTCCTCTCGGCCTGTGAGCATTGGTCGTGACAACTCCTGCAGAAACGTCGGGAAATGGGCCCGGTGGTCTGTGTGTGGCTTCCGGCCCCCTCAGCCCCCTCCCAACCAGGCCAGGCCCACCCACCAGTGTGCTGCGTAGGGGCTCAAGAAGCCCTGCCGCCCACAGCTGTAC